CTTTATATGGCCACACCAGACAAAGTGCAACTTTTTTCCCTCATAAAAAGCCTGATATTCTGTGTTTTAATCTCCAAGAGGCCTCTAAACATAACATTTCCCATGTAAAAAAGGACAAAGTAATTAGATCCAGGCCTGTATTAAAAAAGAAAAGTAAAAAACCCACACAAATATAGCTGTAGAAGATTTCATCCAGTGGTGCAGGTGCTGGGCAAAAACCCTCAGGATCTAACACTCAACTTCTTGACCTGTTTTGTAAGAAGAGGGGACAACCTGCTAGCACCAGGTGCTCATACAACTCTGGCACTGTGAGTTGTCTGTTGGCCCCACTTCATGACACTTTCTGTTTGAGGTTGCTGGCTTCAGTTTGATACAAAGTTGTGATCAGCTGGAGCTTAGTCATGTGTCATGTTTGGATGGGTTCAAGATCCTAAGCTAGCCCGCTGAAACTGATGTTAATGAGACCAAGATTGAACCGTTATATACTAGCTAGATCTAGACAACATAGATAAAAAAATGGAGAAAAAGCTAAACATAGGAAGTTGAGATAACTTTAGATTTTAGAGATTCAGGAATATGCACTTCCCCTTTATTTGATTACTCAATCAAAATTGATTAGTTTAATGTTTATTTTGCCTAATGCCACCAATGGTAATGAGCTGATTTGGCATTTATGCAAGTGCTACATGTATTTCCAAGATCTATCAATTCTAATTGCCCTTGCATAGTGGACTCCACATAAACTGTTCCCAGCATCAAATCAGGCTTGGCAGCTGCAACACACACACCAAATTTCTGTCCCTTCTAGGGGGTGAAGTGAACTCTGAGCTCCTAATCGCCACCCTGAGAGATATCCCAGCCCTGCCAACAGGGAAAGCCAAAAGCTTGCTTTGGCCAAATTCTTGTCATTGTCAGATAGCTGTCTTCACATAGCTCATCTTCATATATCGTCATGTTGGTTAAGCTAAGTAATGATAAGTTACATAAGCCACCACTTTACTTAATCTGTGAAACCTAAAGAAAAAAGGACTTGATCATCAGTTTGCAAGAGCCCTCTCTAGAAGGTTATAAATACGGTGTGTGCCATTTCCCTTGTTTCCAAAGTAGGCTTTTAAGGCTGCCCCAAAATAGCAGATGAAGCCAGTGTACACCAAACAGAATTGGAAAATGTCAGTCTGAACTGCTGGGTCCTGAGGAATGTGCTGGCTTGACAGGCTATACTACCCTGCACTTCCTTATTGCACTTGTCTCTCTCCCTTTTCCCAGAGGAGGAAATAAATCAAGGGGAGGAATGAACATTTCATGTGAGAACGAAATAAAAAATGAGAAAAAAACATCACATTTAAAATCCTAGTGCCACCAGTGTTATGTTCTCCTCCCCTTTTGAACATTTGGAAAATATTAGATAGAACACATTTATAAAAGGTAGCTCAATTTAAATTCAGTTAAAGGGAAAAGAAGGACAAAAGATATAAAACACTATGTTAGTACATGTGTATGTTATGCCTTCTGTAAAGCTTCGAGGAGTTTGAACTAAAAATGGAGGCTTTTTATTTCCTTCTTTCAGAACAATGGAAACATCTTTTGCCAATCTGGTAAACTTGGATAAAATGAAAGCAGAAAATTAAGAAAAAATATCACTTCCTTGACTACCCTGGTCCATTTAGGGATATCTATTTTTATTACATAAGAGAGGGGAAATAGAGATGTATTATGTAATATAAATTTTCTAGCTCAACACTGTTCCCTTTTTTCTGCAATGAATAGCATGCATGTTGCTAGGAAAAAAGAGTGAAAGACAGTAGCTTAGATTTTCTTGTATGCACCAATGATATACTGAAATAAAGCTTACAGTTTATTCTTCTTACATCCTCTTCAAACAAATCTTTATTAATTCTCTGTTTAAAATAGAACACATTGTGTGTCCTCATAATGGGCCATATCCTGCTATCAATATTTTAACAGAACCCCCATGGACTGTAATGTGGAGTCTGCTAAAAAATTGATGGCACCATTATGTTCAACTGCAAGTATATTTATAATTAAATTATTTTTGTTTATAGTCATTCAGATTTCTGTCCATGAGAAGCAAAAGTGCACTGCTTAGACTCATTAATTGTGAACACATTGTGCTTTGTTTATATTGGTAATGTTTGCTTCAGTTTGAAAACCTGTCATGCATGTTCATGCTCTCCTGTTATGGATTAACACACAGAAGATCAGCAGCTTTTTATAGATTCAGAAGATGTTGCAAAAGCCATTTGCCATAATTTAGGAAGTGACTGTTGTAACAAAGTATAATATATGTACCAGTAGAGCCTTGTTGAATAAAGCTGTGTAATAGCAAGAAAGGAAGCCTAGAAACTGCAGTACACTAAGCCTATGATAATAACGGAAATACAAGAATTTTTTGAATCATCTCACTTTGGCCTTCAGGCTTTTATCAGGGTTCGCAGAGCAAGGGAGAACAGTTTCTGAAAATTTGGAAAATTACTATGAAATCTCCACTCAAGAGCTATCTGCTTTGGAAAAAAATCTCCATGCTATTTAAAATTAAGCGTACAGATGAACTATGAAAAATATGCTAAGCAATTTATTTAGTGAGGGTGTCTTTCTGGTGTAGGGGAAAGATTAGGGTAAACTTCTGGGTTATACTACATTGGAGTAAGTCTTTTAGCTACTGTTTTGTTTTATTGACCAGCTGAGGTAAATTTTTATCTCTAATTATTTGCTGAGTGATGGAATTAATTCCTTGCTAAGTGTATTTTTTATATTGTTCTTTCTTTCTCTCTGTTATTCTCTCCATTTCTCTTGGTCTTTTTTGTCTCTTTCTTTCCCTCTCTTTGATGCTTGGTATTCTCTTTTAGCACAATGTTTGAACACTTCAAACTCTTTTAATATACTCATTTTCAGAAAACATCTGGAAGGTAAGGAATGGCTAGGTTATTATCAATACATAGTAATGCATAGGCTAATCAAAACCTCTGTGAACATATTCTTTGGATTTTTTACATGATTTCTGCTAAATATAATTAAGGTTTCTAGCCCTTCACATTTTAGAAATACATATGAAAATACGTATGTAAAGTTATTTCCAAAATGAGGCTTTTCAAGTGTGCAGAACAGTATATCATTACAGCAGGTATATATACCCAGATACAGGTTTTATATTTGCTCTGTTTTTAAAGCACCTAATTTTGAAAGGCTAGATTATTCTGTATCTCCAAATAGTTTGTTCAGCCCATAATAGAAAGCAGGATAAGTAACCGAGCAAATGGGAGAAGAACAAATAGAACACGTTGCTTCACCCTTCTCCAATCTTTTAGAGAACACAGGAAGATTTAGGCCTGGCTCTCTGAATGCTGAGTACTTCTCACACAAACATCAGAGGGAGCATGGGGTTCTGGGCATATACAGAAATAGAAAATCTCTTCTTTGTAACAGAGAATCTAACAGGAATGGAAGATGGCAGGTTACAAATGACAGTTTTTGTAATGTGAAGGGAAAATAGTGCCATCACAGCTTCCTCTCCTCACCATACTAAAGCTGGGCTTTTGTGTCCTTTCTTGGATGCAGCAGGAGGAGACACACAGTATTCTTTTTCATGCTGCGCTGCCCTCAAATCATAGCTCAGTAGATACCACTTGGAGGATCTGTTGCAATGATGACATGGAGTTTCGGTAGGATCATCCATAGCATGACTCACTATTACATACATTGATCAGTTTGGCAAGTGATTTGCAGAGGTATTTACTCCCAAAATCAGATCCTACCTTGGTATGGCAACCAGCTTATTAATTTGTAAGAGAACTGAAGCAAAGCAAAATTTTCTATTCTTTACTTCTCATCAGTAAATCATAATAATCATGCAAGTCTAGGGACTATTTCTCTTGCTTCATACAGTGCTACAGGATCAATACAGTGAAAGCCAGTTGCTTGATGAACTGTTCAGTGTTGCTAACCAAAAAAGACACCCAGAAATTTAAAAGCAGTTTTCTTAATGATTGATTGATTTATATAATAAGTAAATTTATAAAGGTGTGTGCATTTATATATAGAAAATCATCTGATCAGTTTATCCCAGGTTATAAGTGAAGCTTGTACCAAATTAAGGAATCCAAAATGTCTGCTGCTGCTCTTTACAATTGTGCTAGCAATATCATCAGTTGCTGGAAATGGGCAAGAGGAAGAAAGGGTAATCCTTCTCTATTCCACTTACTGATGCATGTGGAGTACTGCAGTGTGGGTGGTGCACTCTTGCTGTGTATTTTTGGACCACCAGTATGACACACACATCTCAGAAAGTTACAAAAATATTTGCAGCCAGGTCTTTTTCTGGAGTCTCTATCTTTACATACCTCTTTCAGTCTGCTAGTTAGTGTAAAGTTACAGTATGAGAAAACCTCTTGGAAAAATAGCCACATATCATTTCAAGTAATGTATTGTACAAGCACAACTGAATTTATACAACACAGTGCACGTGAACATGCCCAGTCTGGTTTGCTTGTAGTTATTTTCAACAGATCTGCTTTCAATCGCCCTGTGCTGATATGTCTTACTGATAAGAGATAGTACAATAATAATCAGAGTACACAGGATTATTTGTAGTTATTATAGGCTTGGACTTAACATCGCCCCCTTTTGTATTTACAGCTTAAAGATGATCCTACCTGATACTTATGCTTCAACATAAATAAACAGTAAGTAGATCAACAAGCCTATTTACAGTTTTCAAGGCACATGCAGTAGTGTCCATATGTTGTTGAGATGCAGGTTTTGTACATGTGCAAATTTTGTGCTAAAATATAAAAATATATGGAGCATGGTCTTTAATATTTAGGAACATCATGCATTTCACATTATGCTATTACATTCCTAACTTTAGTAAAGGTACTAAATTTCTCTAATAAAGCTGATTCTGTTGGGTACACTAGGATAACCTTTACCTCAGTATCATGTAAATGAACATAAATGATAATTAAAAGTTGAGTTCCAATCACCTACCCTAGAGGACTACAGCACATAAGCAACAAATAAACATTGCTTCAGTGGAATAAAATTAAACGAATATCGTCTACCCAAACCCTATGACTATGCCCGCAAAGCTGTGCAAAAGGATTACCAAACAATTTAGTGAGCTATATTGTGATGCACACAATGTAGTATTCCCTTTCTGTTAGATGTTAGAGCACAGAAGCTTTAAAGCTTGTAGCTAACAGTCCAATTAGTGTTGAATTGCACTAGGCTGGAGTAAAGCCAAGGGAACTGGTTCTGCTTTTCACCTGGCCCTCTATCCCAAACAAGTACAGGTAGCCTTATCCTATGCTCTTCTGATGCTCTCATGTAGAGGAAGCATGCAGAGGTAGAGGAGGGCACAAATAAAGCTGTCCAGGTTTCACGCATTTACAGGCCCACCTGTGGTAATGGTCCTGAGATAGATTTTTGTCAGTTTGAAACAAAAGTATGTATGTGTTCCATATATGGGTAAAATAGAAAATTTTCTAATTGTCTTGTACTGGTTAAAGGAAAGCTAGGACTTAGTTTTACCTATCACATAATGTTAGCTTACTGCTAGCAGCATGCACTTATCCTTTTAATACACCTCTCCATGAAATACTGGGGATTTCAATGGGAAAGAACCGTCTTTGTAAGAATCTGACACAGATTTTATACATCGATCATGTCTTAAAAAATGGATCCATCTTATCAAAGGCTTACATTCACTTTGTCATCTGTTACTCAAAACTTAGCATTAAAGCAACGCAGCAGAACCACCTTTGTTCTGAACTCAGTGGGATGCGAAGTGACAGTATAGCAAGAGAAGACCATTTCTCCATGTAGAAACAGACCGTCAAAGATGTCAGGATTAATTAGAAAATGGGCTATTAGAGGAACTGTCTGCACTGGGGAAACAGATAGGAAGCAGATTTCAAAATGTAAATAGCATGCATTTTTTTTCTCAGCATTAAGCACTAGCTATAA